CAGTTTATGTAATCACTACCAAAACTCGAGTCATTTAGAAGCACAATCGTCGTAAACCATCGGATAAAACCGTTATTAATGCTACACTAGCCTATGAATTATTTACAAATAATTCTCGTTATTGGCTGCTTCGTATCCAATAACTATATATTATCAGATTCGCTCCAAAAAAATTAAACACTTTAGAAGTTTATGAAGATACGATTCTTTATTGTTGTTAATGAATATGCTATCAGTTTTTCTATTTAAATATAAATGTGAACAAAAATTAAGGTTCAGCTTTCTTAGTACAACAAAAAAAACAATAACAGATGAAAGCACAAAAGAAAGAAGCAAATTAAAAAAATATATGATTTATAAAACAATGTTCATTTTATATATTATCGTTAGCGCTGAAGTTATAAATTTGATATTCGTTCATATTTTTTTTGCTTACATATTGCTCTAGTACCATCTAGCCACCATAATGTACAAAATGAATACACATTCGCTGAAATGCAACGCTAATACGAATTGTCTATCGTTATAGTAGTCATATTGCATATTAAAAATATGATAATTCACTCATGCCTATTGCTATAGTACGTAGTCATATTGCATATTAAGAAGTGATAATTCACTCGTGTCTATCGCTATAGTAGTCATATTGAAGATGATAATTCACCGTTATAGTAGTCTTATTGCATATTAAAAAGATGATAATTCATCAGTGACTATCGCTGCAGTAGTCATATTGCATATTAGGATGATGATTCATTCATCCATGACTATCATATTGCATATTATGATAATTAATCCATGATTATCGCTGTAGTAGTCATATTGCATATTAAGAAGATGATAATTCATCCGGATGCCAAATAAATTATTTCAAAAAAAAGCATGTTTAAATTTTTTGTTTTTTTTTAAAAAAAAAAATCGAAAAAAAAAACAGAATTTTTGCTTAATGAAAAGAAGATCCTGAAAAAATATCAGTTGAAAATTGAAGAATTGATCGATTTTCTGTTTCTTGTGTTTCTTGTGTTCTGGTGTTGAATGGATCTGTTGTACCTTTAGTTAAATTTTCATATTTTTTTTCAGCACTAAGATCATCAAAAGATGAAGTTATAGCGTTCTGAGGCATTAACAGTTGATGTACCAGAAGTTGTGGTGGTTGAGGTATTAAAGGTTGAGGTATCAAAGGTTGAGGGACCAGAAGTTGAGGTATTGAAGGTTGAGATTGGTTCATTTTTAAAATTTCAAAAAGGTTTTCGCGTTTAGAAAAAAAAGGAATATGGTATTGGGTTTTTATAATTTTATCAATGGCGACAAAATTATGGTGACTTCACGACAAAGGAATTTCAATAATTAAATATAATAAAAAATACGACTGTAATGGACTCTAATATAAATAAATAAAAAAATATTTTTAACAGTAAAGGTAACAGTAAAGGTAAAACACGATATATATCATGTTATCTTTAAAGTATATTGCATATATTGCGTATATATAATATATATATATAACTTATACGTATGTATATTTTTTTATTATATTATTATTCTTGTTATTATCGTTATATTTTATTAAAATAAATAATAATAAAAAAATAATCGCGTCTAAAATAAGGTAGATGTAGATTACTGTCCTTGTCCGGAAATGTTTACAATGGGTTTCTTCATACATGCATGATCATCATTGAGTATTGTTTTATATTGTTAGATTTTATCATAAAATAAAGTGTTTACTGAAATAAAGTTATCTGTTATTACCAAATTAGGAATATTATTTTCATAGTAAAGTCGGAGGAAAAAAAAATTTATTTATTACATGTAAATTTATCTTTTATTTACTGTATAATTCTGTTAGGGATGTTAAGTGGTGCATCTGGTTCGGTCCGGTCCGGTCCCCCCAAAAGTCTGGTCCAGGACTAGTTGAAAACGAGTTCACCCCCCTGTCAAAA